ACAAGATTTCCTGAGTTCAAGAGCTGAGCAACTGGGTTTTCTGCAGTTCTAGATGTATTAGACGACCAAATAACACCCTTTGTACTATTCAAAGCAAGAGTTCCCTTTGAGTCAAGAACTAGAACGCCTTCACCATCAGATATTGGATTTTCTCTGTTAGCCACCCAGACAACTGTTCCATTTGCTACTTGCTTGTACCATATTCCCAAAAACAGACTCTTCGAATTTCCAGGTCTGAAAAAACCAAGCTCAAAGCTTCCATCTGATGAAACTAGGGTTTCTCCATCTCCCATAGATTGACCTGGAGTAATAATATCTAGTGCAGCTGCTCTACTTATAAAGGAAAGAGAGATTGAGCAAATAAGAAGCCTGACAAAGCCTGCCTTTGATTTTTTCATGGTGCCTTCTCTTTTGCAAGGAAGAACAGATTATAACATATATGAAGGCCTTTTAGGGTATGGTAATTATGAGCGTTGAGTTCCTTTATTTTAGTTTATTTTATTTTGATGAACTAATTTGAGTTTGCCGATTGCCTAATTGATCATGCCATTTGTTTTCTTGTAGGACCGACTTTTGACAGAACTACCATTCTCATGTCAGCATGTGACCATTCAAAGACAGTGACTAATTAAGTAGTTAGTGGTCTGTTTCTAAGTGGCGGTGAAGGCTAATTACTGGTCTTCAATTTTGATTTTGATACCAAAAATCAATCAAAAGCATTTTCCTTTCTATATGTTCTGATTCCTAAATTTCAAGAACTTGGTTTCCAATTTCCATTTAACCTCTTCAAAACTATGATTGGAGTAAAAGGTCAGGATAGTTGAAGTTGTTATTTAATTCAACAAACAAGCTAGTTTCAAACTTTCTTGGTCCATGGAGTGTCATTTTCCCAGAAACCACAGAATAATTTCCCATCAATCAAGGAAAACCTCTACTTAAGTAATTCCGCACAACATTGATTTTTTTTGTTGTTCTTAACCACCTGACAACTCTTTCCATCTTTCACAATTTGCAAGCGTGCTCCTAACAATGTCATGGTGACTTCATATGTTCTTAATTATTCATGGTTCCTTGTCTGGAAACAGAAGTCATAACTAACCAAGGCTAAATAACAGCTCAGTAATTGTAGAGAAATTCGATCTTTTTATGAAACAGACAGTGAAATTTTTCTTAGTAATTTTACTTGAATATCAGATCAGATCTGCTCATGCAGACCAAAAAGAGTATTGAAAAAGTAGATGACATAAGTGTTGGGATTTTTTTAAAACAAAGAAATGGAGAGAACCGAGAGGAAGAAGATGAAGAGCAGAACACATAAAATGGAGAGAAGTATATGACTTCAACTCAACTTTTCTCATTAACAATCTCTCCTATTTATAGGAGAATACAATCTTTAAATAATTCAAAATTCAAACAATTTTCTACATTAAAAAAAAATAAAGTACATTTGAAATTTGAAATAAATAACAGCCACTTTTGCTACAGCTTGCGTCCTTTGGTAGTTCTGCAGCCTCTTTGCAACTCTGCAGCCTCTTGGCAACTCTGCAGCCTCTTGGCAACTCTGCAGCCTATTTTGCAGCTTTCATTTCTGATGCATTTGCATTTCATTTGCTACCCGTTATAGCCTCATTTCATCAACATTTGCAGCTCAGCTTGCTGCACATTTTTGCTGTCATTTTACAGCTCCATTTCCATCATATTTGCAGCTAAATTACTGCCATATTTGCTGTCAAATTGCAGCCTCATTGCTGCCATTTCATGGTAGTTTCATTTCATCATTTCTGCAGATTTGATTGCCACGTTTCTAGCAATAATTCCAACACTCCTCCTTGGCATCAAAGCTGCAACATCAAAAACGAAATAGATTTATGCCTAAGCACCTAGGATCAGCCCTTTGCATCAGCCCTTTGCTGTCCATCTACCCGGGATCAGCCCTTTGCTGTCCATCTTGTGGTTGGTTTTCATTTTTTTTTCATCACAACCATGTACCATCCTTCTCAAACAACCTCAGCTCCTCCTTCATCACAGCTTTCCTTCTTTGGATTTTGCTGCCTCAAACAAATTTTGGAGTTTTGCAACTAAGTTGCATTTTCTGAGTAAATAAAACAGGGGATTGGTACCTCAAAAGTGCTGCTTCATCATCTTTTTCATCTTCTACAGCTTCCTTAGGGTCATAAATCAGATTCAACTTTTGGTGAACCGGATTTGATTCATGCTCTGAGTTTTCTTCCTTTCTCAGGCTGCACCCTTCCCTTGGCATACATTCTTTTTCCCTTTGGATTGCTTGCTGTAGAGACCATGAACACCTTCTCTTCGTTGGTCCAACTTGCCTCTTCACACCATCTCCTCACCATGCTTGATGTTGAGCTATAGTGGGCCTACCATATGCCTTCATCACTTGCTGAGTGATTTGGCAAAAAAATGGAAGAGGGATTTCACAACAAAGACCTACTGGAATCCATTTAGAGCGGTGGGTTTTGGTTATGCTTCGATTAACTCTCTCACAGTCCCTCAAAGATCAATAGGGCTCTGATACCATGTTGGGATTTTTTTAAAACAAAGAAATGGAGAGAACCGAGAGGAAGAAGATGAAGAGCAGAACACATAAAATGAAGAGAAGCATATGACTTCAACTCAACTTTTCTCTTTAACAATCTCTCCTATTTATAGGAGAATACAATCTTTAAACAATTCAAAATTCAAACAACTTTCTACATTAAAAAAACAATAAAGTACATTTGAAATTTGAAATAAATAACATCCACTTTTGCTGCAGCTTGCGTCCTTTGGTAGCTCTGCAGCCTTTTTGCAGCTCTGCAGCCTCTTGGCAACTCTGCAGCCTATTTTCCAGCTTTCATTTCTGATGCATTTGCATTTCATTTGCTGCCCGTTGCAGCCTCATTTCATCAACATTTGCAGCTCAGCTTGCTGCACATTTTTGCTGTCATTTTATAGCTCCATTTCCATCATATTTGCAACTAAATTGCTGCCATATTTGCTGTCAAATTGCAGCTTCATTTGCCGTTAAATTGCAGCCTCATTGCTGCCATTTCATGGCAGTTTCATTTCATCATTTCTACAGATTTGATTGCCACGTTTCTAGCAATAATTCCAACAATAAGAATGTGATATTACACCTTACAACTTTGACTTGTCATCTATATTCAAAGTAAATGATGGCTCAGAGACTTTTATTTCAAATGCATTGGATTGGAGGTAGAAGATCAAAATGGTAATCATCACTGTGACAATTGATTACCATTTTCTGCTACTTCATTTTTCCACTATCGTACATCTAACTCTGCAATAAAAAGCTCATTTATTGAACTTAATTGGCTCCTGCTTTCTGAAGACTCAACAACAGGTAGATTCTGTCCTGTGAAAAAGCCAGGTTGCTTTGGTTCAGGCAATGCACTCTCACCTCTCAACATGAGAACCACAGATAACATGTCTGGCCTATCTTCTGGTCTGTGCTGCACGCATAACAGCCCAACATGAATGTATCTCAAAACTTCTGATGGTGTAGTAAAATCAGTAAGGACACTCTCATCAATTAGTCCCAATGGATTCCTTTCAATCCACAATATCCATGCCTGAAAAAATAGAACGATCATTGACATGTTGCTTTAAAATAGGAGAAAATAGTGTCATTCTTTACACTTACATGTCCAAGAAGACTGTGATGATGATGTGGGTGAAGAAATCCCCTGTTACTCTTCCCAGTTATTATCTCAAGTACCAAAACCCCAAAACTGAAAATATCAGATTTAACTGAGAAAAGTCCACGCACAGCATACTCAGGGGGCATGTAACCACTGCAAAAATATTAAGCAGAAAGAAAATCAGTGACAATGAATGAATAGTGGAATATTGACTTCATCAAAAAAACTAAAATAGTGGAATGTTGAATATGCAGCAATTTTAGTTGTCCATACTATGTTCCAACCACTTTATTAGTATTGGCCACATTTTGCTCTCCCAAAAATGTTCTGGCGACACCAAAATCTAAAATTTTTGGGTTCATTTCACCGTCTAGTAAAATATTGGCTGCTTTGAGATCCCTATGGATGATCCTCAATCTAGAATCTAGATGAAGATATAGAAGTCCTCGAGCAATTCAATTGATAATGTTTGCACGCTTATGCCAGTCTAGAAGCTTGCTTCTTTCTTTATCTGACTCATTTATCATCCATGTTAGTCTAATACATGATTCAATGCTTAGAGGAGAGTTGAAAAATGAATGATAATAGGTGAGGGATGGGAGAAGTCTAACTGAAAATAAGGTAATCCAAACTTCTATTTGGCATGTACTCGTAGATTAACATTCTTTCATCTCCTTCAATGCAACAACCAAGAAGTTTTACAAGATTTCGATGCTGAAGCTTTGCAATCAAGATAACTTCATTCTTGAACTCTTGAAGCCCTTGTCAAGAAGTCCTAGATAGTCTCTTAACTGCTATGTCTTGCCCTTCCTCTAACAATGTACCCTTGACAATAACAATTCAGAAATGAGAAGATGTTAGTCAGAAATGCCATGTTAGAAGTTTTTTATGTTACCTTGAACACGGTTCCAAAGCCACCCTGTCCCAGCTTGTTATTGCTTGAAAAGTTATTTGTTGCACTAACTATAGTTTCAAAATCAAACATTGGCAACAACATCAGCTCCTCTTCTTCATCATTCATGTAATCCTTTCTGGAATCCTTTTTTTTCAGTCCTGAAATAGAGGATGTTTTGGCAAAGACCAAGGTATTAAAGGTCCACTGTTCAAATCAAATGACAAATAATCAAGTGATACATCTTTTTCCTGCTAGAAAGCTTTTGAATCAGACTTGTCTAACAAAAACACCAACAAGTATAAGAAATTCGAAGAGTATTGCTTACTTTCTTTTCTATGTTTTTCCTTCCTGATAAAGTAACAATCCCCAATATTAGGATTCCAATGCCAATGAAGACAGAGCTAGCTATGATTGCTACTTGCTTCCTTTCACTTGATCTCTTTGTTTGCTCAAGATGAGCTGAAAGACTAAAAGTTAGTAGACATTTTCTAGGGACAAGTTAATAGTTGTGAAGGGTTCGAACAAGTATAAAATAAGTAAAGTTGAGGGGAATAGAAAAAGAAGATACCAATCTCTGCAGGTGCCAGCCGTATATAGACGTCATCCCCTCCCGGTGTGAGATCTCTTATATCAATCAAGTCACCGAACCACAGCAAGCAGCCACTTCCTCCATTTCTGATATCTGCATTTGTATATGCCATGCAAGAGCAGTTTGTCAAACACATTTGCTTACATTCCTTGAGGTTCATTGTCATGTTTACTGTGGCATTGGATGTATCTGGCCATTTCAACTTTGTGTGCTTGAGAAACCCATCTTTATCACAATGCAAGGCACTATCTCTAACACAGCCACCAGACCAATCTCCTGAATTCCAATCTACTGGAGATTTTGGCACAAATCCTTCCAGGCATGAACATACAGGAGATCTATTGATATTGCAGCTAGCAAAATTTCCACAGAAGGCATAGTTTTGGCAGAGATCTAATGGACGCAATGACAGAACATCCCAATCATGAATCCCATTTCTCCATACAAATACCTGAGCAAGACCAGATGGATTCAATACATACCTTGTTAGAACTGAACCTTCTCCAACCTCATACATATAATATACCTCCTCATCATTCAACACATATTCATGTGTAATTAGCAGATTTAGTTTAACATAACGAACAATCCATTCTAAACCATTCCTAAGCCCTTCAAAACTAATACCATTCCACGGCCCTGCTCTGAACTGAATTTGAGGTCCTTGTTCAAATACTAGTTGAGGAAACCCTCTAGGGTCTATACGCGCATCGTATTGGCCTGGAGCCGGGTCATCAGTGCTTCTCCAGGATGATAAGAACCTGACAAACCCAGTTTTTAAGTTTTTTCCAAGCTTCATACCTGCTAGTAATGTATCTGAAGGGTAGTCAAAACTCTGCCATAGATACTTCGCTGAGTCGTTATTTTTTCCATCTTTCACTACAAGATTTCCCGAGTCCAAGAGATGAGCAACTGGGTTTTCTGCAGTTTCTGAAGTATTGGATGACCAAAGGACACCCTTTGTGCTATTGAGAAGAGCAAGAGTTCCCCTTGAATCCAGAACAAGAACCCCTTCACCATCAGAAAGTGGAGCTTCTCTATTAGCCACCCATACAACTGTCTGAGTTGCTGGTATCTTGTACCATATCCCCAAGTACAGACTCTTGGAACTTCCAGGTCTGAAGAATCCAAACTCAAAGGTTCCCTTGGATGAAACTAGAGTTTCACCATCTTTGATGGATTGACCTGGAGAAATAGTATCTAGTGCACCAGCTCTCCTTACAAAGGAAAACAAGATTGAGCATATAAGAAATCTCACAGAGACTTCCATTGATTTTCTCATCAAAGAAGCATAAATGATTGAAGATCTTAAGATCATACATGAAGCTAAAGATGATGAAGAGAATTAAACAGGTTTTGCTTTTTCATTTAAATGACACTCTTGAGAGGTACCCCACCGACCTTAAACAGGATAAAGGTAGATGCCTTTTTCTTCTCTGATAGTTTCCATTTTACACACGCAGGACAGCTAAGTATAATAAAAAGTCCAATAACTTTAACGCTTTTACATTTTTTGTCTGGAAACATTAATTCTTCCCAGATTAATCTACGATCTTACAAATACCTGACAAGTTCAGCTATTCCATTAGTCCAGCAGCTGCTTTAACTTGTTTATAAACTTCATAGGCTTGTGGTTTTTTTGTTTTTTTTATTAATCTTTTACTCTTCCACTTTCTATCTCAAAATAATAATCCTATGATAGAAAACTTATATCTATTTTTTATTTTTTATTTTTTTAAGAGTAATATAAGAAAATACATAAATTATCCTAAATAATTAATTTAAGAAAAAAACTAAAAAAATGACAATCATTTTATAATAGAA